CTTTTGAAGCACTTGGGGATCATTCACACACACTTATATTTTTAACTATTTTACAAAATAGTGAGTTTTTACAAACGATAAATGATATTTCAAAAATTTCTTCTCAAACATGTTTGTTTTCATATTTATAATCATTCCCCAAAATTTTACTATTTTTAGAGTTTATTTGTTATTTTATTTTGAATTTACAAAATTAGATTTTCAACTAAAATCATTATGTCTGGAAGTATCCATTTCCGGTCGACAGGGTTTTACCTATCGGTCGACCGATCAGAGGGTCTGTTTATAGACCCTGCAAACAATCGGTCATCAGTCGATTGACACATAATGTTCGGTCGATCGATGGCGTAGGTTCAGTCGACCGATGGCGTAGGTTCAGTCGACCGATACAACATTATTGGTCGATCGAATGGGCTTGCAACATTTTAGTCTGCCAACGGTCATATTGTCGGTCGACCGACCATAGTCTATTGGTCGACCGAAAGTACTGTAATGGTCAAATTTCCAGACTCCGGGATTTTGGGGATTTTGTTAGTTTTGATGATTTTCTTGAATCTTAGGCTATTGTTTTAAGTGCCTATATATATCTTCCAGCCCCCATTTGTTCAACAACTAAGCTAGCAAGAAAAAATCATTAAGTTTGTGTTTTTGTATGTTTTGAGCAAAAACTTTCATTCTATTCAATTTCAGTTTTACACTTTTAAATCTCACAACCCCAAGCTTCAATTGTCTTCTCTTAATCATTGCCATAGGATTGCTGTAAGAGAGATTCTTTCATCTAGTTATATTGTGTGGAGAGCTTGATCTCGAGGAGATCATCGTGTGGATTGTGAGATCTCGAGGGAGATCATTGTGAAGAAGTTCCGGCTTCTAAATCGGGTGTAGAGGTGGTCGGGGACGTAGGTCGTGAGGACCGAACCTCGTGAATATATCACCATGCCAATTTGGATAACTATTCTCTAACTCTCTCTCTTATTTATTGCTATAGTTTAAATTTGTGTCTTATGTTGGATTGAATTTTATTAATTTCACATTTATTATTTGATTACCCTATTCACCCCCCTCTATGGTAATTTCATAGCGAGCGTATTCCATAAAAATCATGTCGACAAGTTTGAATGCCGCCAGGACAGGTCACGCCAATTTGGTCATGTGTACACTCGACGATGTAGAACTGGTCAAACGATGGTGAACCGATGAGCCAGGCCACTATCCTCATAGCACGATGCATTGCTGATGAGCCGGACTTCTCAACCTCATATACAACGCAGATACACAAATCATTGAGGCTCAACAACATGGACAGAGGGGGAGAGGACGGGGGGGGGGGGGGGCGGGGGGGGGGGGGGGGAGAGTGAGGGCAAGGGGTAAGAGAGGAGAGGAAGGAGAGGAGACTTTGGGATTAACATGACAAATTTCTTTTGTTCAAATTTGTTACTTTTGTGAATTTCAAGAACGATATGGTTAGATTGTTCAAATTTTTTACTTTTATGGATCAATTATTGTTTATATATGTGAATTTCATGAACATTGTTTTAATTCAGTATATATGTGATTTTCGCGTGTATTGTTCGATTCATGTATATTGTTGTGAATGAGGTGAGAATTTCATGTATATTGTTGTGAATGAGGCTGAAATTTTATGTATATTGTTGTGAAATTGTTGGGAATTTGTTTTCATGTATATTGTTAGGAAATTATGTGTATATTGTTGGGAAATATGTGTATGTAAAAAACATGCACAGAACCTGTGCATGTTTTTTAAAACCTGTAACTTCATAGGACTTCAAGTCCCATGGAGCTGCAGGCTGAATTCCAGAGAGCGCTGCTCTCTGGAAACTTCACGCATGAAACTTCACGGAACTTGAAGTCCCGCGAAGCTGGCAAAATTGTAAAATTTTACGGGACTTTAAGTCTCGTGAACTTATATACCCCCTAATCCGCTTTGTTAGCGGGGGCTTAAACTTCACGGGAGGCTTAAACTTCACGAGAGTTGAAGTCCCGTGAAGTTTTGTAATATTTTTTACCAAAATCGACCCAGTTTTAGCCAATTGGCTGAAACTGTGTTGATTTTGGTGATTAAGTTGGAAACATGGATTTTTGCAATTAAGTTTCTAAATGGCTTGGTTTTGAAAATTTATCCGAACTATAATTTTTTTTTATAGATACATATATATCATCCCTCTAAATATAAAATAAGCTCCAACTCCTTATATTTAAAATTGCGTTTTGATTAGTTTCTACTTGATTTTTGATCAATAAGGGATTTTTTTCTAACTCGCATGGTTAATTTGCATGATATTGGCCAAAAATCCCTACAAATTATAGGATGTATACTAAATGAAAATAATGAATAAATTAAGTAACTAAAAAAACCCCTAACTTGAAACTTGATTTAATTGTGTATCTTGAAAAAATTACTAAATATTTTATTCTTGCACGAACCTCATTAGTACACGTCCATTGCAGTTTGCAACATTGCATGTGTTCACGTGAACATCTATCTAGTTTCTTTTTTTTTAATATTTAAAAAAAAATTGACTCCCTCTCTACCTCTCTATAAATTAAGATCGAGCAGAACTCTCACTACACACCTACACTCAAAATCCCCTCAAACCCTAATCAATATAACAATGGCCACCAAGCTCAGTCCATCCTCCTCACCTCACGCCTTCTCACACCTCACCCTCTCTTGCCCGACTGCCCACACACCACCGTACCCACCCACGGCCGCGCCCCCACAAGCCCATCGACGGCACCCCACACAGACCCCACCGCTCAAGGGCCCCATCGTCAACCCTATCACCGTCTTCCGCCCGCCGTACCGTAAACTCGCCCCACCGTGCATGCCTCCATCGCCATCGCACCGTCACCAGGTGACATGTATCGTGATGGGGAGTGGTGACGACGGCGGCGACCCGCACGACCGACCCCCCGCGCGCCCGCCCACGTGCGCACTCGACGGCGCTGAAGCTAGGGCGGATGCGTGGCTTGTTGGGTGGGCTCGTGCACATTGAGGCTCGGACGACTCGGTTGTGAACCAGTGCTGCCCGTTGAATCGCGGGCTTCGTTGAGATTGAGGGCGCGGTCTGTTTTGACTAGCATAGTTGGAAGCCGTGTTGAATATTAATTTTGTACTTGCCGCTGTCTTCAGCTGCTGCTCACTTGTGGAGACCCCACCCCCTGGCTACACTGCACCATTTAGAGAGTAGTAAAATTTTTAGATTTATAGGATTCATACGTAGATTATGTGGAAGCGCTCACAGACACACGTCCACGCGAACAACCCAGCACATCCTCTCTGCTACTAGTGCTGGGGGCCGCATGAGATCTAAAAAATCTCATGGCGGCGCCCATGCACTGTAGCAGGAGAGGGAGTGTGGCTGAGAGGGTGTCCGGTGGTGTGCCTCTATCATTACTCTATTCTGTTCGCGCTGATATTTTAACTGTTGAGTTACTGATCATTTTTTTATATGTTTCTTACTTTGTTGAGTTACTGAACATTTTTTTTAAAGTGTTTGTGATTTAAAATTAATCGATAGTGAATCACATATAGGCTCCTACTTCATATGTAGAATGTCCTTAATTTGTAAAAGAGTTAATTAATTAGCTCAATTATTTTCTCATATAGAGAAATGAAGTTGTATAACTTTCTGTTTATTTTTCAGGTGGACGCGAGGTTGTATTGATGGATGCATGGTAGCTAGATGATTGATGCATGAGACATGAGAGGACGCCGAGAGGAAAGTTTTTGGATTCATGTATGAGCGACGAGACATGAAAGGATGTCAAGTCCTTATTAATGATGTTAATTAATTTGCTAGCCTTGGTTTTCTATTTTTTCCATTGTGCTTTATTAGTTCAATTGTTTTCAAGGGGTTCAATTAATGTTATTGTGTTATGGTCATTGCTAAGCAAGGAAAATTGGTGGCTTTGGCTGATCATCTCATATGAAAATTTCTTCGCTCTGATTTTAGCTTATCGTGAACTCGCTGATATATATGTTTTGTTTTTATTATGGAATTCTTAGGAATCCATGAAGAATCAATGGATGTCAAATTCAAGAATTATTCCAACATTTGGTTAAATTTCTATGTTGGAAATGCACTATTTCCTTCCATATTCCAGATTGTAGAGAAATATATAAATGGAATTCACATACTACTTTTCATTCAGCCAGAACGGAAAATAAACTTTAATTGTCAGAAGGAATGATACTCTGAATTTCTTTTCATTCTCACACGTTACCTTGTTGTTGATTAGATTTCATCTTTTTGTTTCTTTCTTTTTTTCTGTATTGGTCCTTAAATCTAGGCATAAAGAGAAAGAAAAGTAACAAGAGAAGCTCCCAAAAGGTTTTTAATAAAGCAAGAGACTGAAAATGCGGCTATATTAAATATAATGGAAAGTATGCGAGTGGTGTATTAAATGTCAACGATTCAAACATTCACAAGTTATAATAGTAATATGGGCTTTGCTACAGAGACCCAAAATATGGGACCAATAAGGGGGACAAGTGAGATGTCCTCATTCTATTGGATAATGAGTTAGCCATCATTAATAATGACCAACTCATTATCCAATAGGAGGGGGACACCTCACTTGTCCCCTCTATTGATCCCATATTTTGGGTCCTGAAGGAATTTTTCTAGTAATATCTTTCATCGGTATTATCTGGTCACTTGTTGACATAGTATACATCAAAATCTCTACAAATTACTGATACTTCAAATCATGATGAATATATAGCTCACGTCGGTAAAACACTATTTAGAATATTTATGCACCAAAAATTATCCGACGGCTGGGCCTTGTGCAACTTCACAAAGTAGAGGGCCATCAGCCAAAAAATCTCTCACCCGAGACAGCTAAATGTAATTTTCCTTACTTGTTGACTCAAAAAAGACTAATCAATAAGTGTAGTTAGTGTTTTTCAAAGAAAAGAAACAAGAAGACTGCTGTGGTATCCAAATATAAGCCGAGCGGCTGCGTACCCACTCTTTCACAATTTATTTATCTATAGATCAAATATTCAATCACAGTTGTACCTTTTATTGGAAAATATCACTCTCTCACACTTCCACAACTATAAAGCTTATGTATAACAATAGCTCATGATTCAAGAGAGCAGCCATCTCATAGCACAGAACAGTATCGACCAGGGTCTCTTTAAACAGCTGAAAATTCCACACCTCAAACTCTTGAATTTCTTTGAATTCAACAGCTGTCTGCCTTCTACCTCAATGAATCTGCCATAGAAAAAAGTTAACAAAGAGCACAAAATGCATTAACATAATTAGGCAGCTTACTTCTTCATGTTCTCATACTTACGGTAATTGTTCTTCAGCATGTAACTGATTCCTACTATGCGTATGTGTACATGTGTGCATACTGCATATCCATATTTATATATGAATGTAGACATGTATGTATGTGGGTATGCATATACGCATTCATGCATGTATATGTATGTATGTATGATCTTCTTAATTGCTTACAAGCAAAGTTATACTAGGTCTATACCTCTAGTCATCCTACAGCGGTAGCTCACGTTTCAAATGTGAATCATCATATCAAGTGAAATTGCAGAACTATACACACAGAAAATGCAAACTATATCTGATGAATTGCAGAACAATTCTCACTACGAGGTTTCCTTTGTTTCGTACGCAACATACTTTCTCATGACATGGATGATGATACACGGGTAGGGGGACAATACTGAAGGACCACAAAAAATCAGAAAGATGTCCAGATATTGATGAATTATGATGCTCTTCGTTTTCATTACAGTAATTTAAGACCTGAACAATTTTTCCGAAAATTAAAAAATATATATAAAGCAAACATTTCTCTAGTTCTACAGAAATTATGTATATACATGCAGGTATTACTTAACAACGTACAACTCGCTTCCTCGTGGCTGATACGAGTCGTCGTACGAGTATTTTTTATCGCGGAATTATCAAAGGTGGGTTGAGAAGAGGATGACAGAAACACAAGAATAATTCAGTATGTGGTGAAGGAAAATACCCTATCTAGATTATGAGTATGAAAAGATTACAATCTCTCTCTCACAATCTTACTAGAATCGAGAACAAACTCCCAAGTCTCTCTAAACCCTAATCTCTCTTGATTAGAATCTCTCTTTGATTACATTTGATTCTCTCTCTAGATCAAAACTGATCTCTCTTAGACCTAATCTCCTTATATCTACATCTCTAACAATCTCCTCTGTTTAGAAACCCTAAAACAACGCCTTTTATATGTGTAAACAACGTGGATGACAAAGTGGTAAATATCCAAACCTAAATCCCACAGGAATTCGTGCAAACAAAAACCCAAACGAACCAGGAAACCTTCGATGTGTCGACTCATGTGCATATATGAGTCGACTTATGACATATGGGTCGACTCATTCAGTGATGAGTCGACTGCTCAGAGACTTTTGACAAAACGACTGAGTTTCATGAGTCAACTTATGACAGGCATAAGTCGACTCAACCTGATGAGTCAACTTATGACTGTTATGAGTCGACTCACAGGCTGAAAACTAGATGCTTCGATTCTTCGATTCGTCGTCTCGTTCCACGTTTCAACCTGCGTTCCACTGTGTTGTTTTACACCTTAATTCTCAAGTTACTATGAGAATCATCTATCCTCAAGCTTCCATGAGGATCGCTAAGTTCCGAAGAGAAGATACACCCGTATCAGTGGCACTACCGATATATAGGCTACCTTGTATTCCAAAATGTTGAACGTAACTGGAAGGTGGTGAAGAAAAGAAAATAAATCTTATTTGATTGTTACCCTCTCATTAGAATTGCTTAACAGCTTAAGTACATCTGCTATTGTATATCAAAAGGATCTACGAACAACTCAAAATTAGAGGATAACAGAAGATAAATTATATTTGTTCGCGACATCAATATTAAATTATGTCAATTTTAACTTTCCTCCAGTCGTCAGCCGACACCTGTAAAGTGAGTGCTGACGTAGTCATCAACCCATATTTCTTCACCGCCATCCTATGTTCGGTCGTAATGACGGTTATGCCCCTTCGACACTACTATAATAAAATGTACTATTCCCTCATAGAGGTGACTCTTTTAGATTCTGATTTTTCTACAAAATCAGTGTCTTCTACTAATTATACTGCACACACAAAAACTCCCACAGATTTTTATTTTCCCCGCTCAAGCTCATTAGCTGACTTGATCATCGGAGAAATCACGGGGGAATCAATCATCCTCTCACGTGTTTCTACATGTGCAGACTTTTCATCAACCTAACTCAAAACCGGATATTCGGGAAAGGAAGCGGCCCCTCATCAACCTCACCCTTATCCAACCACGGATATTATTGATTGTGTGATCACTTAACATTAACAACATTTATTTATAGTAGAGTAACCATTTTGCTCCAATGTAGAGAGATTTTGAAATATTAATTATGCAATATTTAATCTTGCAGGTCGATATTCAAGGTGAATTCATTGTCATGGATGACCTAGTCGATATGGAGATAGATGACAAGGATCTAGAAGAAGGCTATATTGAACTCAATGATCTTGCTTAATTTCTCCCGGGCAATAATCCTCAAGGAATCATCTTGATTTGCTTCGGAAAAAAATAAATTTTAGGAGAATGATATTAATGATAATAAATAAGGATTGTACGAGAGCATATTTTTTGTATTATCTTGTAGCTATGCATGCTATTGTTTGAATCAACCTTGATAATTAATATGCAAAGTCATACCTTGCTCTCATTAATAAAAATTATATAAGCAAGAATTACATAATGATCATTTGCTTCCTCCATTTACCAATTATCATATCAAACCTACTTCTTTCTCTATAAAAATATTTGATCAATGATATACATTTGGACTAATTTAGCAAGATTCAATTCTTGCAAAATTGTTCCCTACTTATACCTACATATGTAAATAATTAGTCAAATCAAACGGAGATGAAGTAAATTACTCAAAGTTTTAAATTTACTCCAAAAAGAACATTTTAATGGCGTTCTTAGGGAATTACCAAACTTGTCCCAAAAATTTATATGGTTTCAATTTGCATATGCATTCTCGCCAATCAAATAGCCAAAACCATAGGTTACAGAGATTAAAACATTAACCGAAAAAAATCAAAGTTAAAATTAACCAATTGTTATGACTAATAAGCTGAAGAGCTAACTTACAATCAAGAGGAAAGAGCTAACAACTTATCGTCCATCTTAGAGTGAAAGCCCTTATTGGCTCCTTATTGGGTCTGGTCTAATTGTTTGAAAGTCCATATTGGGTCTGGTCTAATTGGCTCCGGATCCAGCTTAATTGGAATTCTGATAAACGGGTACAGATCCTACTGTGATGTACCCGACAATTACGTTTTGTAGTTTTTCTAATTAGTTTTTGTCGCGTGATATCTCTCCCTAAATCCTCTTCATATTTCTCATTAACGCCTCAAATCTATTGAATTGTTCAAGTAACACCCCATAGGGCCCATAAAAATAGAGTTCTAACATATTAGACCAAAAATACTTTCTTAATTTTATATTAAGTAACTAGACCTGCATATTTCTAAATAACACCCCATTAATTTGAAGAGTTAATTAAATTATTATAAGGGTTATGGGCGGAATTCAATTAGGGGTGTCATTTAATTTTTTTTAAATAAATGTAGAGGTGTAAATTGAAAATATAAAGATTTGAGAGCCTTTTATAAAATTAAGAATATAGTCTAATGTGACAAAACCATTTTTATCACATTTAGTCATATAACTACTTTTTATTTCTTGTTAATTTGCGTAAAATTAGTTACTGGGAACAAAGTTAATATTAATTAAGACGGTTTAAATCTGATAGTTAACTAGATTAATCAAGACCCCTTGCAATTTCTCTGAATTATCAAAACTCTACTGAAATAATGCTTTTTTAAGCATACGGAACTCTTTGGTTTGTGGATTCTATTCTAATGCAAGCTATTGTTTAGAAAAATCCATATTGAAAATCTTATATGTTTGTCATGAAGATTAAAATGTATTTGCATAAATATAAAATCTAATCAAATTTTGTTTGGTTGCACATGTATTTTGTTGAGAAGATATGACTAATATCACAAATTCGGATCAAATCAGTACAATTTTAGGGAATCAAATTTGATGTATTTATCCTCTGTGGTAACCCCAAATTCGTGGTATGAAAAATACAAATAAACATTGTATTTGATAATCTTGAATTTTGCGCTTGTGGATCCCGTTTTGCAAAGCAAAACTCACTGGACGCATAAATGAATGGAAACAAATTCGAGGCGTTTGGATTGAGGGATCAAATTGGAGTCTTTGATTTGAGGGATGTATGAGCAATTTCAAAGAACTTCAAATTACTACTATCAAACACTGGTAAAGAGCTCCAAATAAACTTCAAAGCAAGGTTGCTGATAGCGGATCGCGGCGCGGCGCGGCGAGGTACCGCTAAGGCTATATCGGGCTATTGCAGCGAAATCACGGCAAATAGCGCACAGTCAAATAGCGGTCAAATTTAAATATATTTAAATATCCTAAATAATAAGAAAATTCATAAAAAATCTAAAAATTCAATTAGTTGTAAATTTCTTGTATTATCAGTAAATAACAATTAATAAGCTTGTTGTATGAATGAAACTATGAAGAAATTCAAGAAATATAGCATCATAATATGTGTGATAGCGGGTTTAGCCGCTTTTAATAGCGAAAATCCGCTTTTAACCGCAAAAATCCGCTTTTAACCGCGAAAATTCGCTTTTAACCCGCGAAAACCCGCTTTTACACGCTATTCGAATGAATAGCGGATTTTCCCGCTTAAGCCATCCGCGAAACCCCTACGCGTAGCGCTGAAGGGCCGCGACCGCTATTCGCGCCGCTATAGCCCCGCTATTAGCCGCTATTTACAACACTGTTCAAAGTTAGTTGAGTGGTAAAGGAAGAGAATCTGATAAGTAAACTCCTCAACAGAAGAGAAAAAGGAAAAGAAAAAAAAAAGGAAAGATAAACCCATCAGTTCAAAATTTCAAACTACTTAAGTTGCTTAACAAGGGAGGATTAAAAATATACATTTAAGATACAGGGGGTTCAATTTTCATTGATGAATTCATATTTTGCTCGCATCTTTCTTTACTAACAGAGTTCCATCAGAGCACCTTCGTTATTTTTTTATCCCAGTCGTACTCATTAGGAATATGGAAATTTGTAAATTCATCTGAAAAATGATAAGAAATACAACTATCAGTTCTATCAACTTGACATAATCAACCAAAATACACCAAGATTAATCTGCTTTTTTAGGTCTATCCTTTGAATAAGACTTCCTGGATACCTATAGGTGCCGTTTGGCAAGGGGTTAGGGGAAAAGAGTTTAGGAAAAGGACTAACTTAGATCCTTCATGAGAGGTTAAAAATTCCTGTTTGGATTTGATAGACAAGATAAATAATTAAGTTTTTTTTTGTGTTTGGCAAATAAAGAGTTAAGGATGTAGTTACCATAAATATCAAGTATATTCTTTTTTAAGTTTTATTTCTTATTTCGAGAGGGAATAACCCTTAATCCTCCTCTTTAGGAGAATTTATTAACCCCTCTAATGAGAGGTTAACCAACTTTAACCCTTGTAAAGGGTTTGTTAATCCATTCACCAAATTAACCTATTTGGATGGTTAACGAGGGGTCAAACCCCCTTAACCCTTCTCTAATCGTCTGCCCGTCAGAGCCATAAGGGTTAACTACAAATACACTCTATGTAATCTGAGGGTCGCGTAACCA